CGCGGGGGCAGTGGACTATGGACCTCTTCTTCTTTTTATTCTTTGTTTTCATGGCTTAGAAGACGTAGCTTAATCATATATATTAATATATAAAATTCATCTCACTTAATGTAGTTAATAATACTATTTTTTTTCTTATCTCATTAAGCCATATCATTACAATTATCACTAGCCCTGGATGATCGATCTATGGTCTAAATTATCTCTCATTTTTCTTCTCTTGTGAAGTCATATCACTTTATTTTTTTTGATGGTTAATCTATATTATCTCCATTATTTTCCTTCTCTATTTGAACCACATCACCTTATACTTTCTTTCCAATGATCAATCTATTTACTATTTAAATTGTTATAAACCACATAATTTTAATTGTCTACAGTTTTATTTCAATAACCGATCAAATACAAAAATTATACTAAGTATGTAAGGTTACGTCGTCTAGATATCTTACATGTTAATTATACTATCATCACATAAAACCCCATGGCAACGCGTGGGATTTCATCTAGTTAACCAATACTACCTCCATCCCAGAAAGATCGTGGTTTTGTATCGTTTATCGCCAATGTTTGACCGTCCATCTTATTTTAAAAAAATTATGATTAGTATTTCTGTTGTTATTAGATGATAAAACATAAATAATACTTTATGTGTGACTATTTTCTTAAAAAAATTTCTTTAAAAAATTTTCAAATAAGATAAACGGGGATACGGAAACTTACAACTGTACTAGGACGAAGGATGAAGGTAGTAAGACACTATCATGTTTAGAGGAGGTTTAAGTATTGTGTTGTCCAGCTGTGCCGATTGGCATTATGAACCGTCTAACACTGTACTCCCTCGGTCCAATAAAAAACCAACCTAGTATCAGACGTGATACTCCCTCTATTTTTAAATATTTGACGCCGTTGACTTTTTAAAATATGTTTGACCGTTCGTCCTATTCAAAAAATTTAATTAATTATTAATTCTTTTCCTATCATTTGATTCATTGTTAAATATACTTACATTTATACTTATAGTTTTACATATTTCATAAAAGTTTTTGAATAAGACGAACAGTCAAATATATGCTAAAAAGTCAATGGTGTCAAATATTTAGAAACGGAGGGAGTATATTATAGTACTACGAATCTAGACATAGTACTATAATATATCATATCTGGTACTAGATTTTTTTTTATGAGACGGATGGAGTATGATTCAAGAGGGTGCATCGGCAAAAATTGCTTTTGTATATATAGTGCCTTTTCATTATGTGCTAATAATTTTATATATTTGGCATGTAATTTTTTTTTCTGCGCGCCTATCACTGTCCTCGGTGCGTGCGTTTGCTGTTCTAATTTCTTTCCCCACTGAAGATTGACGACGACACCGGTCTCTCGATCGATCAAAACTTTTACTTTTGACACGGTAAATACACCGGTCGTCGTTCTTCCAACACGCGTGTCCTCCAATCCACGGCGTTTGTTCTTCACATCAGTCTCGATCGGTTCATTCATTTTCATTACTAATTCCTCGATCTGTTCCCATGTCAACGATCGATTCATTCGAGCGCGAGACCGATCGAGAAAACCCGGACCGTCCGATCGATCGGGTCACTACTAGACTGGATTTTGTTCCATGGCGTTTTTATGTCGTTTGGACGACGTCGTCAAAACCAAATCTTGACCGTCTAGCTGCTGCGACCAAATCGCCTACTCTCTATGCATAAGTACTCAATGCGTTCCATTAAAAAACCAAATTACCTACTCTCTGCTTAATGGGGGATTGTCTGCAGTACTGCATCATACTGTTGATACAGTAGCAATGACCGACGTGTGAACCGGACCCACATGTCAGCTTCTGCTACTGCATCAGCAGTATTGTAGAGGATTTGCATCCCTCTCTGCTACAACCAAACTATGTTGGTTTTCTACTCTCTGCTGTGACCGAACTATGTTGGTTTTTTATAAGATGGAGGGAGTACGTAGTAGCAGCAGTCATTCTATTTTCAAAATGATCTATCTTGATCGCCACTAGTTAGGCTGAGTTCGTTGCTTGGTGTTGGAAACTCGTCCCTTCGCGCACATAAAACTGAAGAACTCACTAGTGCATGATTAAGTATTAGCTAATTCTTTTTAAAAGAATAAATATGATTTTTAAAGCAACTTTTGTATATATTTTTTTTGAAAAAACATATTGTTTAGTAGTTTGAAAAGCGCGCACGTGAAAAATGAAGGAGTCGAGTGAAAAACTTTAACAAAAGAACTTAGCCTTATTACTAGTAATATGCTCTATCCGTTCTATAATATAATCATTATTAAATTCAGGTTGAATAGAAACACTATTATGCTCCTCATGATAATTCAGGCAAGTTGCAATCTCTGAATTGGATCTAGCTGATCAGTCCAAACAGCAATTCATTCATGATTTCATCCATTCATTGAACTAGAATTTTACTGTTGAGCTACGTGCTCCCAATCCATATTAATTCATTCGTTCAGTCAAGCCGCATATATGAACCTACGTGTGTACTGTGGCAGAAATTCTAGTCCAAACACTCGCACGAATTTAACGAAATTCTGCTGCTGCCAATCTCTGAATCATTCTACAACCGACACCTCTGAAAGTCTGAACTCTGTTCAAACCTCAAATCACGCACACGTACACACTAGTGTACCGAAGTATATCCATCAATTTCCAGGGAAAAAAAACAGAGGAAATGTCAGATGTATTATATGAACAAGTGAAAAGAAAAACAAAGGAATAAAATTCCTGTATGCATGATGAGTCCCTGTTTGGCTCTAACAAAACAACTGCAGGCCAGTAGGTTTGCAAAGAAATTAAAGGGCACTGAACCTGCAATACAACAGCTAGTAACCAGGAGAGAAAATTACGTATATATATACCCTCAAAATTAAATCAATCACTTTTTAAGTATTAATTATTATAAATTAAAAAGGAATTTATTTTATTTTAAAAAATCTTACACACACAGTTGTGCTATACATTTGTCGACAAATTTTTCCTTAAAAATTTGGGAGATGTAAATATAGTGTGATCGTAATAATTACATCGTAATTTGCATGTAACTACAGTACAACTTGAATGTAACTTTTAAAAATCTTGTGATAACATGCTATTTTCATGAAGCGGAGGTCACGAGACCAAATCCCCTCACTTACGTGTGTGTTGTGACTTTTTCCTTCCCATAAAGCAAATCTAATGATTTTAAAATTACACGAAAGTTACATATCATGATATCAATTAGGAGTACGCATCTCATTTAGCAGTTAGGAAGCATATCCATATAATACAAGAGAGAACAGCTAACCCAAAACTCTAAAAAAAACTCAGGCTAATTAACACAAACAAATTAAAAACATTGTGTGAAGGAGCAGAGCAGAGCAGAGAAGGCTAGAGTGTGGCGTAGAGGATGATGAATTTTGATGATGCGATGAATTTTGTAAGCATATGCAGATACAGTGGAGAGAAGAAACCAAGTGAGATTAATTGAGATCGATGAGGTGTGCCTCCTCCTTGAGATGCGACCACACCAGCTGTTCACAGCCTGTGGAACGCGTCGATCAGCAGACCAAATCGTGTATTTTATCATGCTGCCTCGTGTGCCACAATATTATTGTTAACGTAACTGCTCTATTATATTAGTATACTATTAGTTAATTAACCATGGATGACACTCTGCTAGATTATGTTTATTTCTTCAGTGTCTCAAGAAAAAGATTGTGTACTACGTATGTGTATGTTTCAAACTTACAAGTAGGAAGTTTTGAATTGGTTGGGGTTGGGCAAAGTTGTTGTCTTAGCTCTGTGTTTGTAGATATTAGCTAATTGCTCTCATGTCACTGAAAAATCGCAAGTTGGATTTTTTGTTAAAAAAATAGTAACCGTGGCAGCGGTGGAATGAAAGGAAATAAAAGCAATTAACTATTTCTTTTCCTTCATGGCAGGTCGCTAGTTGCCCTCAAACATCGATGAAAATAACTTAGTGGATTTTAGCATTAGTGGTTTCCAAAAGGAAAAAAAGATTATATATGAGTAGTACAAAATCACATTTGCTAAAATATAATACCCTTTTTTAATAATGGGTAGATCAGCCTTTGCTTCCGCAAAAGTTACAACCAATTATTACAGCGATTATAGCAACTAAGAACCGACAATATCAAATCAGAAACAACAACATATAAAAAAGAAATTCATGGATGAAATATAATACCATTTGTGCTAAAATAACCGTCTTTCTTGGTTATAAACTGTGAACTTGAGCAATGGTTTGAGAGTAAATCATCCGTAATTCTATTGGTCAGAGAAGTAGACCACAGTCGATTTAATTTGGAACAGTTCAGTCAAACATCTACCAAAAAATCTTTTAACTAGACAAAAGCGTTAAGCGTATCACACAATATTAGTTAAATAAACTTCCTTTATTAAAACCATCCTAATCCCTGGCATTTGACACAGCCAAACAGTAGTTTGATACTGATACGATTCACACATCAATTTTCCAATTTTGCGCTGCTCTTTCCTCACATATTGATCACATTTGCCACTTTTTGAAAAATGGAATTAATCAACGTAAAATTCCAATTAATTAACTAAGCTTCCTTTAATAATTAATTCCCTCCTAAACCCTAGCATTAATTTGACACAGCCAAACAGTTCATACTAATTCGATTCACACACCAATTTTTCAAAAAAAAAAATCTTAGCTCTTTCCACACATCATATTTATTTGTCTCTTTTTTGAAAATGGAACTGATCAACCTAAATTGTAATTAATTAACTGATTAATTAAACTGCATGAATTTTGCACTTTTGACCTAGCTAGCTAGCAGCCTAGCTAGGAAATCAAATCAAACCAACAAATAAAACTAGTTGATGGCGATGGAATCATGCAAGGAGATATTGAATTTGAACCCCCTGATGAAAAAGTCAATGCCATCAGCTTCTTCCTCTTCTTCAATTCCTCCACTCGTTTTCAGATCATTTTCCATGGCGCCATGGCGCCTATATAAGCACCCACCCCCCTCTCTCCCCCTAACCCTAAAAACATACACCATCCATTTTTCCAAGCTTCATTCCAAGCCACTACACTAGCACACACTACATACAATCTTCTTCTTCTTCTTCTTCTTGAGTTCTTGGAGGTCGAGGGGTGGGTCATCAATGGCGGAGGTGGAGGTGAGGGTGAGGCAGGAGCAGGTGGCGGAGTTCAGGGAGACGTTCGCGTTCTTCGACAAGGACGGGGACGGGTGCATCACGCTGGAGGAGCTGGACACGGTGGTGCGGTCGCTGGGGCAGACGCCGACGAGGGAGGAGCTCGCCGAGATGATCCGCGACGTCGACGTCGACGGCAACGGCACCATCGAGTTCGCCGAGTTCCTCGCCCTCATGGCCCGCAAGGCCTCGCGCGGCGGCGAGAACGGCGGAGGAGGAGACGACTCCGGCGACGCCGCCGACGAGGAGCTCCGGGAGGCGTTCAAGGTGTTCGACAAGGACCAGGACGGGCTCATCTCCGCCGCCGAGCTCCGCCACGTGATGATCAGCCTCGGCGAGAAGCTCACCGACGAGGAGGTGGAGCAGATGATCCGGGAGGCCGACCTCGACGGCGACGGCCAGGTCAACTTCGACGAGTTCGTCAGGATGATGATGCTCTCCGACCAATAATTAATCTCCTCTCTACTATATATCCAAAATCAATATATCTCTCTCCATTTCATTTTGTTTTTTTTCGATCTCTTCTTTCTTTCTTTCTTCCCAATTTGATTAGTTACCTAACTAATTAAGGTAGCTAGCTATAGCTACTGTCATTTAATTTGGCCTTGGTTAATTAGTTCCTTGATTAATGTATTTGTTTGTATGACCAAATCATACATACATGTATGTCCATTAATTTTTGCATGCAAATGGAAGTATATACATATATCTCCAAATATATGTCAATAATTTTTTTGTTGCAAGAGAGAAATTAAGAAGCAATCTTTTATCTCTCTTTTTGTTTCTTTTGGAAAATGAAAAAGAAAATGAGAGAGGAAGGAAATTAAATTGAAGCAGGGGTAGGTCAACTTGAGCTAGCTAGCACTAGCTGTCCCTGACCATTAATTTTCCATTTTTTAAAAGTCTTTTAGTGTACTTTTTTTTTGTTGGTGTTGACAAGAAACAATTTGGCAATTAATGCCTGAATCTTTCTAGAGTATTTGACCTGGCTATTTTGTTTTGTTTTGCTTTTGTTCATGTCCTCTTTTTTGGACAGTGACTTTGGCCGTGTTGGCTAGTAGTAGCTTTCATACGAGTACTTTTCTATAAAAAAAAACAGAGAAAGAGAGAGAGAGAGAGAGAGAGAAAAAGAGGGTCGGTGAGGCATATAGAATCGGTTGTGCGTTCAACGGTTAAATGTTGTGAAACCATACAACACGCGGTTGTGCAGCACCGTGCAATAAACCAAAGATAAAAGGAAAAGAAAAAGGAATGTTTTTTTTTAGAAAAGCAAAAGGGAAAAAGATCAAAGGAGATTTTGTTGAGGGACTCTATATGATCTTCCGTTAACACCTTTAGAAATACTGATAGGATCATGTATCAGGAATCATAATTAGAACACGCTTGTTAACCATGAATGGATCCAACCAAACGTCTTTGAAGTAGAAGGATGCGCGTGAGGCCAAGTTTAGTTCCAAACTTTTAATTTTTCCATCACATCAAAACTTTCCTACACATATAAACTTCCAACTTTTCGGTCACATCGTTTCAATTTCAACCAAACCTTCAATTTTGATGTGAACTAAACACACCCTAAGTTGGCTTTCTCACGCTTGCTTCCTCGTTGGCGTCCTACTGCTCATATGTGTTACCATGAGTTTATATCTAATATTGATGGATTTGTGCAAATTCGATGCAAAAATTCTAATGCCTCAACAGAACAGGTTATCCAGTAGTGGAGCCAAGTTCTGTAAACAGAGATGCTGCTATCCTTTCAACATATATTTAATTTGAATTTAAAAGTTCATGAAATTTCGACTGTTTAATTTAGGTTTCTAGCTCGACTACTTATGGCCATATGTGGCCAAATTAACTTCGGTACAACCTGAGGTAGACTCATTTTTATGTTTGTTTGATCGGATTGCTGAGCTTGCAAACAAAAAAAAAGTTAAAAAAAATACTTGGGCGACATTTGGACGGTGCATACATACAGCAGCCGGCCTGTCTGACTGACTGTCTGTCACGCGCATTGCTGTGTACGGCCGTACATACGTATATATATACATACACATTTAGGCCATGTAGCTCTTCCAAACAGTTCAGCTTTTTATCTAGATTTTGAGAAGCTGTAGTTGTAGAATCTGAATTTAGAAAATAAACTAGAAGCCAGAAGTTGGGTTTTTCAGCTTTTCCAGATTCTCAGAAGCTAGCTACCAATTAGCTACTTCTCGGAATGTTAAGCTCCCTACATAAATGTACTGTACAATCCCTTTTTGTCTGCTCCATTAACTATGCACCATCCGATACAAAATCAATGGCCGTGATGGACGTACATGTATATATAGTGTCGTGTACTAGTGTGGATCAACACCGAACCCGTGATGGATGTACGTCGTATTGAAGCAGTCGCCGGTCGGTGATGTGTACTGCACCGTCTGCACGTACTGCACTGCATGTAGGAGTAAATCGCAAAGGTTGACGCATATGGCGCAGGCGGCTGAGTCTCTCTTTTTTTTTTCCATCCTCTATTTGATCGTAAAGTTGTTCTTATAAGAGGAAATAGTTCGAATAAACCTCTAAATTATAAAACCAGATATTTAACATTTCAAATCACCCCCTCTCCCCTCAACTAAAAATCCACCCCTTATAGAAGTATTGTTTGGAGCGATTTTGTTGTTGACCGGCTGACGTAGAATTCCAACATGACAAAAATAGAAAAGATAGACCTATCTTCTAGAACCCATTACATCGTCCTACTATTTCCTAGTGGGGGAGATATTGCAACGCCGGGAAACTCGTGTCGATGAAATTAAGGAGCGATGTCGAGCTCACTTTTTCCCCCATTGGGAACCTCGTGGATTTGCGCCGATCTCGTCACCAAAGCTCATTGTGCAAGTGTGAAGAAGGCGTGGGACGGATGGCGTGCAACGACCAAGCAGTTTTTTCGGGTAGTGCGACGAAGGTTGGGCGGAGATGGCAGCTACCGGAGGAGGAACTCGAGCTCAGGGCAGCCATGGAGGTGGGTACTAAAAGAAAGGGAGAAGGGGGCACCATTGTCTACGCGCGTGGTCAATCTCCTTCATGTTGCCACCTAGATCTAGAAAGAGGAAGAGCCGAGGGAATCAAGAAGATGGTCGTGGCACGAAGTAGAGGGAGCCACATGAATGAAGAGGAGCAGATGAAGCAAAAGCCACAGTTGCCTTCCTCTCTCCCCTCGACGTTGCGTCGGGCCCCGTTCGCGCATGAGGACGCCATCTGCCATGTATCTATAGTGGCTAGTTGCATCGTCAGGGTTTTCATCATCGGCCTTGCTGAGGATATGTCGCTTCGTGGATCTACATCACTTCTCCTTCCGGCGGCTTCCTCCAACCTCCGCCATGCTGTATGTACTTACAACATATACTATCCACCGCTAATAAGACATCGCTGTAAGATGGCACACCACCAACTTGATCCCTTTCTCTCTTAAGCATAATATAGATATGAAGATAGAGGATGTCAGGTGGCCCCACTACCATACCATTTAGTATGAATGAAATTCAGATTTTTATCGTCATGTTGGATAGCATGTAGGGTCAAAACCGTTTCGTATTTTTTTTTCGTGGTCAAAACCACCTTGTATTAAAATAGGGTCAAAACCCGTCGTGCCTGATTTTCTTATAAGGGAGTATCGGAGTACAAATCTTTTTTTTCTTTTTAAAAAACACTCTTTATATATATTGTGTTTTTCTTTAAAAAATCGCACCGTTCAAAAAAAAACTTAGGAAGCGTGTTTACGATAACAGAAAATGAACAGCAAAGCGTTAATTAACTAGGAACCCAGAAAATTAATGAACTGGGCCTTATTAGTTAACTACGCGAGATGGTTTTCAAAGCAAATTAAGCGTGTACGCAAGCACATGCGAGTACGTACGTACAGGTACAGGTACAGCTATACTATTGATGTATGTATGGACGGAGCTAGAGCGAAATAGAGGATGGTGTCACTTGCTTAATTTACTTTATTTTAGATCGAGTTTAAGCTGATACGGGTGCCCAAGTTTGTATTGAGAGGGTGTATACATGGTGAAAATATATGAGGTATAGCTAAAAAATTTTCTTGATCGGATACCTGGACACCCCCTAACATATACTAGCTCCGCCCCTGGATGTACTCATGTACGTTTACATATGTGGGGGTACAGCAGTACAGTACAGTATAGGAGTGGATGGGAGCTGGGGTATTGAATGAATGAATTGATCATCGGTTGGTCAAAATCAAAGCATGGGCTAAGCTGTGTAGATAGCCCGGCGCCGGCCTTCATTGAAGCCTATCTCTGCATATCTTTGGATTTTCATTCATTTGCAGAGGCCCACCACCCTTCAAACCATCCACACACATTCTTCCCCTTTCTTCTTTCTCTAATAATTCTTTGTGCTCTAGCCATGACTTGGACAACAACAAATTTATGTGCATACTGAATAATGCTACAGAAACTAATACTCCCTCCGTTCTAAAATATAAAAAATTTTAGTAGGATGGGACACATCCTAATAATATTACGATTCTAGACAGAGAGCATGTATCCAACCAAAGCTTCATATCTAAATATATTTATAGTACTGGGATATGTTCCATCCAACTAAAATTTCTTATATTTTGGGACGGAACATATATTTAGACAAGTCAGATATGTGTACATCTCAGCGTGACACGTACGTATATAGGTTGTCCAGGCCGGCCACATGTAGCTAGACATAATTTGGTTTGCCAGCTTGATATATACTTTTATGTGTTTTGTGGGGGATTATACATATGTTGATGAGATTAATTGCTGAAGGAGTTGGAGCCTGGAGGTTTCTGCACTTGAATACTTGATCAGTTCATTGTCTGAAGAATGCATGCATGAACATTCAGTGTCCAGCTTGGGCTGCAAGCTGGAATTAACAGCTTGCAGCTTGTTTGATCCAGCTGTAGTACATATAATAATTTGTACTACAGCATATATATCCATGTATTAATTCAAAATGATTTACTACTACTTTGGAGAAAACAGCTAGCTATATGTATACAAACACATGCACACACTCTGATGGGATGGTATTGCTGGGATTAAATGGAATAATAATTAAGGAGCCAACTCTGTTGAGTCCAAATGCATGCATGAGCTAGCCGGACAACCACTCAACCAGCACTAAGCTCGTTCTATCTGCACTTTTCTTTTATTTCTAGAATAAGTTCACTTTACGTTCTTTATCTTAGACATTGAATTTGAATTACCTCCTTAAATCGCAATACTATACATATATAACACATCCCTCAACTTATGAAACCGATGTACCCAAGATCCTAGACAATGTAATGCCCGATTTTAGCTAACCAAACGAGTGGGACCTACGTGGGCCCAACATGTTAGTGGCCCACTCTTCTTCCTTCTCTCCCCCTCGTCCCTCTCTTACCCATCCCTCTTCAGGCCAGGAGGCAGGTGGCGAGCGGCGGGGAGAAGGGTGACCGCCGGCAGGAGGCGGGTACGTGGTGGGGAGACGCAAACACGGGAACCTAACCGATGGAGGAAGAAGAGTTGGCAACTAGCATGTGAGATCCACGTGGGGTCCCACTCATCACATCAGCTAAAATCGTGTATTATAATATCGTAGGACCTCGGGTACACCGGTTTTGTAAGTTGAGAAATGTGTTATATATGTTTCGGTTCAAGAACGTAACTCAAACTTGACATCAAAATGACAGACCTAAAGTGAACTTATTCCTT